AGGCGGCAGTGCGGTTGAACTGGCGACTGACCAGAATTGATGGTTCTCGTTTCTAAATTGTGTCAAACTTGAGCAAAAAGCCACCCGAATCCAAATGTTGCTTATACGAGGGTAAACTTGTTTGGGCAAAAGCGTCCCCACTCATTTGGCCATTTGTTTATCTGCCCATCAGAGTATATTTTTTTGTGATTTCAAATTTAGATAAGGCTCATGTTACAGTTAAGTCGAAATGGTGGGCGACTTAAGCCATCAGTTTGGGAGTGCAGTATTTAGCATTGATTTCAAAAATAAAAAGTGATGCTTTAAGTATCACCCATAATAAACTTATTCAGAGCTCCGGTTTCAGACGACTTATAAGAAGACGCTGATTAGTGGATGACATAGGGCGCTGCGTGAAATGAGAAGTGACCAAGCACCACACTTTAGTGCGGCGTTGGCATTTGTAATCACCTCGGCGATAGTGTTGTCCAAATGAACAGACTGGTGTAATTCCGTGGCCTGTTGCGTGCCTGTGCAACGTCTACACGTGGTCCACGAGAAGTGTCAGGACCACACGGCCCACAATACGTAATGAAGTAAATTATCTTGAAAGCACGAGTAATGCCTCTCCCATTGAAGCAGGAGTTAAATGCCCAAAAATCCTTTGCCCGCATTTGTCCCACAGTAAATTTCCTGGCACTAACCATTCCTCTGTATTGTCTACATTAGTGAGGATCTCAGTCTGTTTGGTTTGCTGATCAAAAGATTTTCCAAAGTTAATTTCAGTGAATTGGTTCGGGGGAGAATGAGCACGAAAAATTTGCCCTCCTGTTCAGTCATCCAGTTAAGTATCCAAATTTAATTTGCTATCAAAAATGTGTGTTCAAATCTGCCACCTGCATCGGCAAATAAATAATCAGAATTGTTGAATAAATTGTGTGGGAGACGAGGTTTCCATAAGTGTGTGCGATGGAGGTGACTTCAACAGCTGATTACTTTTTACCTGCTTAGAAGCTGTAGGTTGTGGACTCAATAAAAGCACCTTAAAGTCTAAAGGAGCTGCCACTATGGAAAGCCATATCCGATTTAGGGCCAATTCATTCAGTTTAAATCGTGATATGACAGCAAAACACATGCTTAGTGTATGCTACAAAGCTCAGCTGTAAGATGTTTGCACTTCCCAATCCTTAGCATTATTTCTTCAAAGTGTCAACTGTCAACTTCCTGGCAGAAAAGCACCTCAAAATAGCACTTTTGCATTTCAAGTGGAACAAGTAGAACCGAAGGGATTTAAAGATGGCATTAAAAATGAGGTAGCAACAGTAACATTTGACCGCAGAGACCTCAGCCAGGAAGTGAACATGGATTGTAATAGTGACTGCCTCAACAAATACCTTCATACTTAAGGGGGCCTTCTGTAGTCTTCATCACATGCGCAAGCCATGGTATTTTCGCTTGACGGGTTGTCGACATTTCAGATGCCATTGTTTTTTCTCCTACAGAAGGCATCTGGCAGGCAGCTTTACCCTTTCAGGAGTGACTGTCTTCAAAATTCGACACTGACAAGTTGGTTTACGAATGCATCCCCACAAAGCTACTTCCGCTTTGTGTCCTATGCTTGTTTTATGGCATTCTAACAAATTACTTCATTTATTTGGTTCCTTTATGGTGAATGCTTGTTTTCATTCTCCATTTCCTAATGCTACCCAAATTTTTTGCAAAAAAGAAGATTCGTTTGTCGTTATCACAGAACCATCTACGCGCAAAAGCCACCGACTTCTGGCTTCCTTGTGCATCTCAGTTTCATATGGCTTTTAAAGCCAAGTTCAAGGCTTTTGCGCATCATGACTTGGAATTAGGGCTGAGTAAGGGAGTGGTGAGATCTACACTGCTGCCTCCCTGTCAGAAGCCAACATAATCGCCTGCTACTTCGCTCTTACCTGTCTTCTGCTCAATCATGAATTCCCTTTATTAAATGAGTGAATGAGATCCTTAGAATTTATGGCATAAGAAAGGCTAAGTGCCAACGGAAGATTTGGAAAGGTGGGAAATGTAGCCGTTGAAGCAATAGCAACTGCAAGTCCAAATTCTCAGTTTTTGTCAACACAACAAAAGCCGGATGTGCTAGCTTTGCTTTTGGAAGAGATCTAGTCGCTCAGGGATGGCAGTCAAGCGTGTCTTCAACTACCTCAGCCTCTAATGTCAACTGTACATCCCACCCATTCTGTTTATTCCATCCAACATGCGATCATGTGATTGTCAATGCTTACATGTAAAGAAGGTGGTAGCTGTGAGATAGGGAAGGAGATATATTTCGGGAATAATAAAGGGATGAGGCAGTACTACCCTCATTCCCGTTGATCGTAATCAAAGTGCAAACCATCCTACGAAGCACTTTTGCGGTGGGAGGTCTTGAGTTTTGTTGTCGTGGAGGAAAAGGGCTTGCCTCCCTTGGATTTGTCATTAATGTCATCGAAAGAACTGCTATGGCGGCAACGGGAATGAAGCAAGCGGAAAGCCATGATGCGAAGAGGGAAAAATAAATGATTAATTGAAATTTATGCCATTGCTTTACGCATCGTAGCCATTTCGAATACCGTGGTAACATTTGCGCCAATGCTAGGAAGGAAGGAATGACATGCTCCACATTTGTTCAGAGGCGATACACACTTTTGTTTTCAGTGTCAGTTGTGCATCCCTTCTACTCCATTGAAATAGACCACTAAGCCTTGCTAGCTCTCATTGTTTTGGTTCACTGGCTTTGAAATGCCAAATGTTGACTGATGGTCCACAATGAGCGCATTCTCCACGAAACCCACCACTCGTAGCGAAAGTTAGTTTCGGATGGTGAGCAGCATCACACAATTCTTATTCTACCTTCGTCTATTTTACCATCCCATTATTGCTTTTACACTGTCTAGCCATCTGGTGGGGCAATTTTCGGTTTTCAGACACTTGGAATGGAAGTAGGTTTATTCAGAATTTAAATATTCCCACGTCACGGTTACAGGCACTATCAGTGCAGATTTTACACGAATTTTAAAAGCCACTGCGGTTTTTGACGTTAATGAGAACACTGACAGACTGCATATTGTGGTCGTCAAAATTAAAGCGGCTCCAAATGCTCTTCTGCTGTGGGTTCTAAACGATTCATTTATCAGCATCGCCGAAACTGAAATTCCCATCCCTATGCTGTGGATCATGGCAGCAGTGACATTTATAAAACGTCGTTGCATCCACGAGTCAGGGGCTACCCATTTGATAATTGTACAGAAGAGCAGATAGACAAGTGAAAGATGCGGCATGAATGACATGCCATATCGTCAAGGCGGAAACTGGAAGCGCCGAAATCGGAATGTCCACGTGGTTGCACATACCGCTTGAAGGAATAACTTGTTGGCTACAAATGAATGTTACTGGGTCATTAATTCGAACCCACTCCTTTTCCACGTGAAATGTAACTTCTCCTGCGCGATGAGCCTTTAAAATCAGAATATGCTGGGAGGTTGTCTCACTAATCCCTCACCTAATGCATGGTCATGTAGAAGAGCACCCTCTCACCGCCCATGTGCATATTCATACCTCATCAGCTGCCAAATCGTAGGTCTCAAGTCTTCCACATCATGTGCTCCATTTTGGGAGTAATCTTACTGAAGTGAGGGGTTTGCTTCATTTATTACTGGGTTGTGCTTTCAGTAGCCACTTCATGGTTTTACAAAACCGTGAGATTAAACAGCTTAAGAGTCGGCTATCACATTTCATTCCTTCTCCGTAGGGACTTAAGTTTAGGTGTTTCCAGTTGATCCAACATTTTACAGACTTACTTGGCAAGCCTGTAAACCATAAGTAACACTGTTACGAAATTTTCAATTTCAGGTAAACTCAGACAAACTGAAAACTGGAAAAGCTGCTTTACATATGCTTCGTCTTTAATCATATTTGCTCCAAGTTGAGCGAAATTTTCTGCCAGTACCTCCTTGATATAGTCTATTTCCGGCATGAACTGCATTTGAAGTTGCCAAATCCATGGTCTCTTCCCGCTTTCAAACTGACAGGCTGTCACCCGTTCGATGAAATTTTGACAGCTCCCTTACCATGCCTTTGTATGTTAGACGTGCAAGGTGCTACTTGCTTAGTATGAACTCCATAGAGTCGGGGCAACAAACGAAGGTATTGCCGAATAGCACTGGCATCTTTAACTAATCCAGTCGTGAGGGAGTCATCCCCTCTATTACAAATTTTCTCTCCTGTGCATAGGTGGGGCTCACTTGACTAAAATTAAAAACATCCTTTTCATGAAAAAATTTATATTTTTTAGGCATTTATGTAGTGCTTTATGTGTAGGTTCTCCGTGCATTGCAAATGAAAACTCGTTCGAAATTCCCGATTCAAGTACCATCTGCACGCCGCTGAGTGGAACAAAGCAAGAAAGCGACTTGTTGTGGAATGGCTTTGAAAAAATCCCGAAAGGTGCCACACTTATCTCCTACTCGTTTGCTAATCCCACTTGCACAAGTCATTTGGTCGGTGGCTATACTACTTAATCAGCTGAAAGCTTGCAAATTATACTAACCGTCTATGGTAGTAGTTACTTTGAATTTCCCAATAGATTCGAGGTGAGTAACTTTGCCCAAGCAAGTACTGAGAGGGAAATAATTTTCACTCATGCACAGACTTCCACCCAGAATAGCCACACGTCTTATTTGCTTCACTCAAAACTACATTTAGTGGTTTAAGTCAATTAAGGGAAAGAAATAACAAATTCCTCTGTCCCCAGTAAATCCACTGCTTTCCACCAGATCAAAGACAGTCCCTTTCTATATTGGAATCCCCAAATTTCTCCGATTAGGGGTATTCTGCAAAATCGAAGCAATTTCAAGGAGAGGTAAGTGGAGATGTGGAGGAGAATGTACCAATTCCATAGCATATATGTACAAGTGGGTGTGAAATGATGGCATGAAGTAGTCTTCTTCCATCCTAGAATGTAGGCACGATTTCCAGGCTATTGGTAGGCAAATGGACTAGGTCTTCCTTCCAGTTAGAAATGGAATCTAAAATTTAGTAAGCAGAGAGCAACTTGCAGTTATGCAAAAATTACAAGTGCGGAATGTGAATGGGTGTGTTTTATTCTGCCGGTAACCCACACGCATTCCACACACAATTCACCATTCGGTGGTCTGCCCAACTGCTGATCTGCTTTTTTAGGCACCTCAAATTCAAACTTCTATTCATCACCAATCCTGTGTCAATCTACCTATCTTTAGATCAGTCCGTTATCACCCTTAAATCATTTCAGTGTGCAATTGGAGGTTAATTTTTGCATCCATGGCTACACCATCCCTCCTCGTGTCCTTCTATTCAGTCGCCCTGCAAGCTAGCTGCTATCCCTTTACTTGACCTTAATCTCCTCCATCTGTCTAGTCACTTGTTCATATGTATTTTTAGAGCTGTGCATATTGCACCTCAATCTTTCCTAAAATTATCAAACCACTTCGGATTTGAGCTTTATTTTCTCGTCATCTGTGTCTGTTTCAAACACCTTCATACATAATCTTTACACCTATTCATTCATTCTCTTGAATGACTTGTTAAAAGGTCGTGGTTGCAGCCCATTGTATGCTGCCACCCTTTCCTTCTACACAAATTTATCTTCCAATCAAACCACCGCGTTCACCCAATTGGGAATTATCCATCCACTCGTTCTTTCTTCCATCTATGCACCCATCTCTCCCTTCGAGCCGCCTAGCACTTATGTACCCATGCTTTAGTGGAAAAAACTGGCATAGCAGACAAATTTGGCCTTTAAAATTGATCTTGTGCCAAAGCCGTAGTTCTGAGGTGGGTAATGGCTGCGGACAATGATAAAGCTTACACTGGCCATATGTTTGATTAGTTAAATAGCCACCCTAAAAGTAGCCAATGGAGGTATGAACTCACATTCGGCTTGTTTAGTGCGTTCTCACTGGCTCTTCGGATGTTCGGAATCACACCGAAAATATTCAGTTTGGCCTACAATAACCAAATGAACAAAGACTTGAGGCAACAGCTTTTTAGGAGGTGAAGGCGCGCAGTTGTAACCGACAACGAAGTTAAGGGGAAAACAAAGTTCTAGAGATGTGTCAAGCCTCCACTCCCACTTCACTACTTAAATAAACCAAGCTGGATATTTTGCTAAAAATGTGGTTTATAATGTCGCACTCCATGAGAAACCGGAACTCAACGAAAATGACTCCCATTTTTACCTCAATCGCTTTTAGCCGATTATGGCCATGAGCCAACCTGTCGCCTACTAACTCGACTGGTATTCGGCTTATCAAATCGGCAGATCGTTCGCCTTTTAATGAGGAAACGACATTAAGTGAGCGATTATGGGGTGTCTGGAAGTGAGGTGGTTACACGCTGTTTCGGCGAGGAAAGACTGGTCAGGGACGGCCAATCTAATTACCAAGACAGATGATGGAGTTACCTGAAGTGCAAAAGGATGGATGTAGAACAAAATTAAAGCAGTATCAAGAGGCTCTTAGAGCAAGGTTTTAATTCGTTTCTCAGCTGCACCATTTTCCATCAATTAGGGAACGCATAATTGCATTCGCAGTAAGAGGATTTCGTCTTCTGATTACATTTGCGTCTAGTCGCTTAATCGCGTCTTCATCTTGAGGCATTTCGAGCTTGTAAAGAAAAGAAATAAAAATCCAAGTTATTGGAATCTCAACACTTTATAAATGCACAAATAATATCATGAAGCCACTTGATACCTGTTTTAACCATACATGACTACACACGAATGAGACGGGAAAATGCGATGTCTGAAACTTTGATTTGCAATATGGCAGATAATCGAGAGTGAAGAAACGATGATCCAACCAAGGCTACACCAAGCAACCAGACATTTAAAATAAGAAAATTGACAAAGGAGTAGAAAAGTGGTCTTTGGAATACAGTGGTTCAGCAATCTTCTTGCCAAACATGTCGGAAATTGACAGTGAGAAAAACACTTTTATGGGTGAGGAGGAACGTCGTGAAGGAAGGGTTTTCAAACCCAACTGACTGGTCTCTGAACAAGCAAAATCCAACTACTCAACAAAGCTGAGTTTAAATTCCATTTTTGTGGCTAGAAATCACCAGACCCGATCGAGAGCTCACCACCTTTAAAAGGCGGGTGTAAGCACCACATTGAATACCTGTTATGACTTCCCACTTTACAAACCAGTGATAAACTGGATAAGTCAAAATGTTCCTGCCATTTACTTCCTATTTTAAGTGAGGTTTGAGTATATTTAAGGAGAAAAGCCACATAATTAGACAAACGGGAGGGCATTTCGGCTATCTCAGAGTGAAACCAGGGTGTTGTCACCGCACCGAATAACCGCGAAATGTGTGTGTCCTCTCCAACCCTCGCGCAGTAATCGAAAAAGTCACTCCTGCAACTTAAAAGTGTAAACAACAAATTATTTGTGAAAGCGGATGGGAGATACCAAGTTGAATGCTCATTTGGTGGGTATCCCTTGATTCGACTGTTCCACTAACTGCAAACGACTCACGATCTCCTTCGCTTACCAAGCATTTGATGCCTCTAAGAGCAATTGATTTTATGATTAATTCAACAACCAATTTTAGCTAAAATTAGGCAAGTAAGGGACCGGAAACTGCCTTCCAACAATCGTGCCATCTCAATAGGTGTCTAGACAATCACATATTTCTCAAAGGAGTCACTTTACTTGTTTGAATTTCTGTAAGCACAACTCCTATATCGACAACTGAATGGGGCATTTTGACAACTAGTAGAACTGAAGCACGACAAAATCAGATTAGGTGTAAAAGACCTCAATTCTGAAAAGTGGCCTGTAATCGTGTCGTTTCACTTTGATGAGTCTGTTGAACTGCCGGATAATTAAACAACCCGTGTTCAACCTGTCCACTTGCCCGTCACAAGTAGTTTGAGAGAGGAATGAGAAGTTGACGTATTCTCACAAGAACTAAACCGTTCTTTTTATCCTCTGAGCAGAGTAGTTTATATGCTCTCACCGCACTTTAACCACGGGAGCACCTCAGCCACCATCATCCTCATATGGATTCAAATGAGGAAAGGTCTTCTCTTCTCATTTGTTCTATTACGTCTTCGAAGGTGATACTGATAGCTACATTGGCGGCAGTAGTAAACAACTGCGAGATACCAAATTTACTCGTGCTTGCGGCTAGACAGCAGCAGAAGGCAGCTGACGCACTCCATTCCTGTATTCTTTAGGAAGCAAAATTGGCAAGTAAAGTGACCTTACACTCGACAGTTGTGATAACCTTTGTCTTGAGAAGGTAGACGAATAAAAGGCAAAATGACGGTTAGGGAATAGTAGAATGCTATTGGATGCCGTGAGGAGGAATGGACACCAAATACTCTCCATGTAGTGATGAAACGGCGCATCCTGGGTCACCATTTTGACGTCACGGTTCACAACCTCTCAGCACCTCTGTGTGCCTTCAGAATCGACCTGAAGTGCTCCAAAGGACTTTGAGAATACACCACACATCCTGTTTCGAAAAAGTCGACTTTATAAGACACACGTGTCCTGCCCTCGTCTTACTCCTAAAGCCTTTTAACTATCCTTGCTAAAGACTCGATGGCCTCCAAGATCACGCACTTAAGCAGCAATTCACATTTATTTTAAGGGCGAAAAATGAAATAGCGTCATCCTGAGGACATCAACAATACGTCAGCAAGCTCAGCCTGACTAGGATTGTATAAAACAACTAATCATATTCAACCCGGAACCTAGAGAGGGCAAGAACATGTTAAGATTTTTAACTAGATATCACAACTCTAGAAAACGCTGAGATCCATCACTTTATCAGCTAGAATTTATCACTGTGAGCAGTTTCATATGGGTTTGCCTGCAGACCTCCAACGACAGCAGTGTTGATTACCTGTCTCTCGGTACGGCTTGTTGCTACAACTCCCCGCAGGTGGCTCGATCTTGTGATATGTGCCCGATTGTCAACAAGCATGCAGTACAAAGCAGAAGGGCACTCTACTCTATCGGTATGGCGTTCCGTTTTGCTTTGGTCCATTGCCCTCTAAAGCTAAACCATCACTTCATAAACTAAGGGATAAACGGATTTGTCAGGTGTGATTCGGGCATGTTCAAGGTCAACTCGCTTTCAAGGTTGCAAAAACTTCGCATATAATACCTGTAGCATTGGATGAGGTGAGTAATCAGGAGTTTATACCGAGACAGGATTTTAGTAGGCAATTTGGCGAGAGTGGTGAGCAAAACAGCAATGGGTGCATCAAGATAAGGGAGGAAGACTCCCTACTTGACATCATGCAGAATTGCGTATCGCCATGGACACGCTGACATTGCTGAAAACTGAAGCATCCAAAGCGTTCTGCAGTCAGACACTACTTAATTATTAGAAGATGTTGCCTTGGAAGACAGGCAGATCGGTGGCGCATGCATCTACGGATGTCAGAAAGAAGGATTCAGATAGGTAGAAGACCGAGATTCTTTGCTTCGTTAGCGTTATTATACCAATTGTTTTGGACAGTTTGCTGGGAAATAGGCCAAGTTGAGTTAGGGAATGGATTCGTTACTACATTATTGGCTGCCGCCAATCATCCAAGGCACCTGTCAGCCAATATTTTTGAGGTATAAACCACGGCGTGCTTCGCATTTTCCGTTATTGAGCCCTTACCGACACACAGCTCAGGTGAAAGCGAGTAATCCTCTTTATTAGAAGTCGGGGTGGTCAAATAGTCAAGAAGTTATGTTCTTGCAGTGCAGTACGCAACTTTACATAGCTGCATGGCTTGCATGATCACATGCAAAATGGAATGGGCAAGTGGGATTTGAAATTGTTGGCTACTAGGGGCAAACGCTGCGTACAAGTGGGGTTCGAAGCTAGCCAGTATTTCGTGGGGAAAGGATTGGGGGGATTTGACTTTTAACCTGCCTTTGCAATCAACCAAATTCAGCCCAACGGTAATTCCATATCAGCCTTCAGCTGTAGTTGTTTCTCTGTGCTCAACAAAAAGAATTTGCTTCTAGTAACAAATCTACTGGCTGCTTTCATCTGTAATGAGGGGTCTTTTCGAAATACACTAATCAAAGTAACGTGAGAACAGGGAGACAATTTGCTGTGCAAGTGCTAAGAAATCCCACAGTACTGCAGTCTTGACTACAGGAGCAGTGACTCGAAGGGACAACGCCTTCAATCAAGTCGGATTGATATTGAACAAAAAACTAGCTTTACAGACATAACCCAACTGAGCTAGTAATTCTTAGTAGAAGCATCGCTTCTTGACTGCGGCTAGATTTGACTTGATGACATAATCTACAAACTTCCTTGCTGAGGTTGAAACCAGCCATTTGAGTATCTCCTTCCCACATAGTGCCGAAAAGTATCTTCCAGCTTTATGTGAACTATAGACTTTGCCACCAGAACATTTCCTCGTCATCAAATTCGTCAACTATCATAAGTCCGTATTAGCAGTGAAGGGGGTTTCGGATAGGGCAACTTGCGCACATCTTAGTAACTACATCATCCTGCAATGCACTGGCCACAACACACCCGACTAACATTCCAAAACGATAAAATGCAAGCGCATACTGCAGATTTTCCTAGACTCTCGCTGGATGTCTGTGCGGACATCTGCTGCTTTGACGTTGGCAGTGGTGATGAGGAAAGCATCTCGGTGACCGAGCGAAGGTCAATGGCAGAGCGTCGGCGATTTTTGTCGGGCAGACCGAAAGGTCCTTCACACACCGTAACAGTGAGGAGGTTCGAATTGGAGAGCAGGTGTTGTGTGGAGGAGGAATTCTTAAAACCTCCCTCTGATGGCATGGTAGAGGCAGAAGTGACACGGTGTGGTGTGAGATAGAAGCTGTCGTTGCTGTGGTTGTCGTCTTCGTCGAGGGTGAAATGGGACCGGACTTCTGGTGTGGCACACTCCGAGGATCCGCTTAGTAACTGTGCAAATCAAGATGGCTTTAAATGCAGACAACAGACATGAAACAACCCACCCTGAAGTCCGCCAAATGACACGTTAATGCATGCGTTTAGCCATTCCAGCCCGGAAAATTGAATAATCCATAAAAGTGACGATGCCTAAACAGATGATTCAAGTGGTTAGAAACAACAAAAGTTGATTCTACTCAAACTTCATTCGGGAACATTCAGTTGCCAAATGTCTTACAGTAAGCTTTCATTCAAAAGAAAAAGGAATCCCCCGATTCTTCGTTAGCAATGGTAAGTGATTTATGATTTGTACATTTATTTACGAATGTCTTCTTTATCGTGACCTCCTCGTTCAACACCCCCCTACCATTCAGTAAATGCTGTCTACGGAAGTCATGCAGACGGGAGATTTACAAATATATGGTTAATCTGACATCTGCAATTTGGTGTCATCTTTGTAGATCACTGAATAATACCTCTTTTTATGTCAGAAGCTAAAAAAATCAAATCATAAAAACATTTTAAAAGGAATTTTGACGGCACAGAATTGGGCGAGTTCATCTACATACCGATGTGGCTACAAGTGCCAACTGCCAGGTCGGTGATTTATTATTGTAGAATGCAGGAAAAAAGTCTAGTGCAGGTGGTCTAATTACATCCACCAGGTTGCTAGAAAGCTGACACACATGTATTTATGTATGCATCAGTCTCCTATCAGGCCGTCGTTTTATTTAAAAGTAGAATAAACCTAGCGGACGTGATTTGGGGATGTTTGCTTCGCAAGCTGAGGCTGACTACGACAGAGTCCCTTAGACTAGTGTCATTTCCGCAAATACTTAAGCTCTAAATCCTTGTTAAATTTTAAGGTCTTTAGATGTATTAAAGCCTGACATATCGTGGATGTCAAGGAGACAATCGCCAAGACTGCGGTGTATCACCACCTAAGTGTTTAGTAAAGATTCTCCTCTAAACGTATTAAAAACTTTAGAATGACCCCTCCACATTCACTAAGTATAGACTATCAGGGAGCTAAATTTATTCTAGCAGTGGTTAAGCTTCGTTTCTTGACTGGACTGGAGCCAAACGTTAGTGGAGGAATTTTACTCGACCCGTGCTATCAGATGAGCGGCAAAAGCAAAGAGCTTAAATTTATGTTTGGAATAAAAGTAACAGCTCTTGAAAAGCACAGAATGGGTCAAACCCCAAAGACTTTATTTGGTTTGTAAACTGGGAGTGAACGACGGGCAACTGCACGAATAAATATGATCAAATGCCAATTTGTGCCACCATCATTAGGGGAAAATTTGAATGCGCTCAATCAAAAAGCATTCCCCTTTGAGTAAACATTTGCTATGGAAAATGTAGAGGATGTTTCCGTCGAGCTATAATTTTATCACAAATTTCTCTAATTGTGCCGTTTATGGCGATTGACTTTTTATTTAATCTTTGTTCAGAGTAATGCCCATGTAATGGGCAAAAAGTCATTTATATGCAACTACTTCAGTCTCCTCCTTGCTGAGCGCTTCTGTCAACTTGTCAGTGACTTTTTTGAGCAATTTTTGTAGGTAGAAAGAGGGAGGCGAAGGTACTCACCGGAAGGATGATGTTCCCGCTGCCCCGTCTTTGAATGCATCTGGGAGCACTGGGATAAGTGAATACTTCTAGAAACAGAACAAAACAAAATAAGCATTTTTTAGGGGACTAGTAAGGTTTTGCTAACTTGATTACTTCTGGTGATTAATGGTACCTCTCCGGAAATAATTGGCAAGTTATCCGTGTGAGGGGCTGCCTGTCAAACAGGTGTCTTGCATTTTACTCTTAATGTTATCGCATCATTAAAAGTTAATTTTTCGATTAATAAACTAGTTCCTGACACTAAATTATTAACAAATAAGATTTTTTGTTAGGGACTTTTCTGACAAGTATATATTATCTTGGAATGATGTAAATCCGCTGTATTTCATTCGCTTCAGCTGCGGTGAGTAATAACCCATCCGAGTAGGGAATAGTCATTAGCTATTTAAGACTATAAAATAAACTGCACACATAACTGGAAGCCTGAAAGATCCTCCTATCCCTAAGGTCGTTTTTCGACAAGGATAACCCCTTTTCTATGCAGCAATTCTCTGATTTT